TTTGGGGGGGGGTCCTTATTATATTTATAGTATGATAGGCGCCGAAACCCTATTCTTATTATTGAGCGCCCCTATATTATTAGGGTTTTTGGGTTGCGGCTTCGTTCTCCTTCCGTTTGCCTTGACCAAGACCTTCTTACCGGCGTCTGAGATGCAGAAGTTGAAGTGGTACTAGACATGCCTAAGTTGCTAGACGACTTGCAGAGACTGGAAAGCCGTCCTCAACAATCTCGAGGCATGTGTTGAAATTTTAGGCACCGGGTGATGTTGTAAAACAGCTGCTTAAGAAACCCCAAGCCGTATAAACTTTCAGGGGATGCTGCCGCGCCCGGTGCTAGGTTTGTCTCAGAACCCGTCACCAATGTTGACCACTTAGTGGCAGGAAAGGGCCCCATAGCGTCACATCACGTCTGGAGGCTTCAGCCATGCTTGCAGGTCGCGTGCTTGTAAGCACGGCACAGGAGAAGCTGAGCTTGCCCCGGATGCCCAGCCACGCGGAGTGAGGGCGAGAGGGCTTGGCGCCACTGCAAAAAAGAGCTGCAGGTATTGGAGAAGGAGTCTCTGTGCCTGAGGCATGCAAAGGGTTCGACGAGACCTGTTTGGGCCATCGGAAGCCCGATAAGAAAAAGGCAGCGCAGATAGCATGAAAGAGACAAGGACACGCCACAAGGCAGCATAGCCTCAATACAATAGTACGTGGAGGGGAACACTAGGAACTTCGTGCCAGTGGCATCGCAAGAAAAGCCGAGACTGTACGGTGAAGACAGCCTGACTGGGTCTCTGCGGAAGGGTTGACCCTACGCCACATCCAGAGGTCCAAGCAACCCAACCAGCTAGAAGGGTTTAGAGGTTTAGGGCTCCCGCTACACCGCCTAACAGCGCCAACCATGCACAACTACCACAGCTCGCTACAAACACTAACTGAAACTCCTACACACTCCAATCGCCACCAATTAAAATCCCACAAAACCCACGAAGAGGTGATACCTCGCCGGTCATGGCGGCGTTGTCTTTGGCCGCACATGCCGCAAGCATGGACATCAAGAGGAGGGGGTTCGGGGATTTGGAGCTTTCGGGTAAGGACTTAGGGCTTCAAGATACAGATTTGGGGCTTAAGGCTCAAGGCTTTGCAGGGCTTTCTGGGACCCAAAAGCGGGACAAGGAATGTAGTACCGTAGGCCCCGCAAAAGGTCTTGCCTTAGGACGACGATGAGGCGAAGATGGGTTCACCGACGTAGGGTTCGCAGTAAAGGCTCTGGGTTTGGAGGTTCATGGTAGGCTGAGGGCGAGGGGATCTGTAGTCCCCTTCCCTAGATAACTAGACTCCTGGCCCCTGAAGATGGGAAGCTTCGAAGATCAAGGGCTTTGGGGTTTAGGGGTTTAGGGGTTTAGGGGTTTAGGGTTAAGGGGTTTAGGGGTTAAGGGGTTTGGGGGTTTGGGGTTTAAGGGTTTAGGGGTTTTGGGTTGGAAGGTTTTTAGGTTCTGATTCGGAGGTCGTCGGACTCTCAGACCTTGAGCCTGTGGCTGAGCTTCCAATTTGGGGACTTAAAGCTCCTGCAAGGGTTCCTATTAGAGGTTCTTTTGGCCTTCGGGGCTGCAGGGTTTGCAGCTTAAGGGTTTATGGTTCAGGGTTCATGGCTTGCAGCTTAAGGTTGAAGGTTCAGGGTTCAGAGGGGGTGTAGGGCTGAGGGCTGAGAAGGTAATGGTAAATAGGTGCGCAGGCGATAGATCACATGGAATTCTTGTGGTTGCTTCCATAGCTTCCAAGGGTAAGTTTCTAGTCTCAGGCCGAAGCCTACACTGGAAACCATCAACGAAGCCCACGAACGCCACCGTGACCTCAACCCTGAACCCTACCCTCGAAATCATAGACCATGAAACCCCAGAACCCAACGCTAAACCCAAGGCTAAACCCCGCAATCCCTACCACCGACGTCCTAGATGCCAAAACCGAACCACAAGCCACTTCCGATCCACCTTCTGCAGCCCAATCAGCGATGGGTTGTGCCAAGTCCCAAACCCTGAACCCTAAAACTCGAACCCCGAACCCTAAACGCTGAAACCCAAAGCCTGAACCCTAAAACCCCAACGGCCCTAACGGCCCTAAACCCTGCAGCGCCCCCTAAACCCTAAACCCTAAACCCTAAACCCTAAACCCTAAAACACGGCCCTAACGGCCCTAAACCCTGCAGCGCCCCCTCGCTTTTGCTTCTCAGAGCTCTGCACGCCCCGAGGCGCAGAGCTGAAAAATCTGCTCGAAGAAAGCGGGACTCGAGGGGCTTCCACCTTTAGGGCTTCAGGGTTTAGGCTTT